GCGTAATAAAAAATATACGTACTTCTTCTAATCCATTCAATTCACTAAACATATCTTTAAAAAACCTGCTTAAAACAATTACTATGATAGATACATTACAAATCGGCAATACTTTTATTAATATGATAAACGTTCGCTCAGCCTTGAATAGTTACTTTGTCAAATCCTCTTCACCTTATAAGTTTATAAATAACAAACCAAACAAGCTACTTGCTGTTTGTCCTACAAATGAAATTAATTCATAACAAGCGTAAAGATGGTTTTATTATATAATAAAGTTGATTTCTCATGATCCAACTTGTCAAACTTTTATAGAATCATTAACCAGTTGATGCAGAATCATGTGTTCTTGATAATGAAACTTTGCCGCCAACTACAATTAAACAAGAGGATGGCCACGAAAAACTCAGTTGCGTAGTCGTGGAGAAACAGCACCAGAAAATCAGGTTACTTGTGAAAAATGTAATAAAAAGGTCATAATTCGCGTACATGCAGTCGAAGACTTAGAAATAGAAAATAGTATGTGTATTATTTAATATTAAATAGTTTCTATAACATGTAATTAGGCTTGCATAGTAACATTCAAAATTGCGCTGATAATGCAATTTATTTATTTTTTAATAAATTCGACATTTTTAGCTAACAATATATTTGGGCCCTTATTTGTAATTTTCCCTTTAAATTTTCTTCTTGCTTATTATGCAATAGTAAGTTTTACTGGGCTAGAAAAGAAGCAAAATTTAATATTATATAAAGAGTATGCAAAATATATTCCTATAAAAGATGTTAAATCAAAATATGTTACAAAATTATGAATCTACAACTTTTATTTCTGCAAAAAAATGTTAAAAAAATCGGCAATCAGAATCAGAAATGGTCGATTACTTTTTTTTTTTTGATCTGCAAATTTTACATTTTTTTGCAAACCGCAATAATTGAGTTGATATCTAAAAAATTCAATCGATTAGTTGATTTTTTCAACATTTGATTTGTAACAATACTTTAAACCTATTTTTTATAATAACAGATAAATATGCTTTGAAATGCTTTTTATTATATGGACTAATTGGTGAAATTAGACCCTAGTCAGAGGCACTAAACTTATTTTAACCCCGTAATTGATCGAATTGATCGTTTATAACTGGTCTGTTATACGAAACAATTGTTCTATATACCTTCATATATTTAAGCAATGCAAAGATAATTTGGGTCAAAACTTTTACAAATTCGGGACTCAAAATCAAGTATTGAATATACAATTGACAAAGGAAAAAAATGCAAGTAAAAAAAGATCTTAAGGTCATGTAAAAGTACTAGTAGTCAGCACGTGCTTCGCTACATATCTACTTAAAGAATGTAGGTAGTTGATCTCAAAAATAAAATAATAATATAAAAAAAATAAAAAACAAGGCTTTATATACTAACTAACCAAATTCGATGAACTTTTTTTATCTATCTATTACTATTAAAATTAAAAAGTCCATCGAATTTTATTAGATAGTGCTAAGATAATATATCTTCGATCAAAGTTTAATGAAATAATGCGACAAATAATGAACTTGAATCATATATACGATTATTAAAACAATGACGATATAGGGCTCACAAAAATCATTGTCGTGATTCTGTATATTATCATTGTTTTAACATTGGTAATATATAATTCCTCAAAATATAATTTTAAATACTTGTAACCCAATTCAAATTTTCTGGATCTTCATACTTTTTATGATTTTTTTTATTTACTATTTAAAACAATTCTAATATCGATTTTGCTGCAAATTCATAATATGTAGATTTTTAATTTTAATCAACCAGACTGAATCTGAAAAAATTAAGTACTTACAGATCCACGTTTTAAGACTCGAAAATAAAATAATAAGAGACGTTGAAAATGATATGGATAAAAAAAAAATGTATAACAAAATTTTCATGAAAAATGCATTATTAAGGACTCATTATTAAGAAAATGGTTTGTTATAAAATGACAAAGTTAATCAAATTTTGTAGATTTATTTATGAAGATGACACCAAATTATGCTAAATTTGCTAAATTATAATATTTAGCAATCAGACCATCATGATACAAACTACTCTTTAAAATCTATTAATAGCTAAAAATCAACAACTATATCTTCACATAGTACCAATTCAACGTATGTTTCCACTTCTTTTCTAATTTTGTCATCTAAGCCCGAATCTTTGTATGAACTGTATAAACCCACATAATTCAAAGTTCTGTTTCGTACACAGAATTCGATTAGCGCTTTAGCATTTTTCTCGTTACCAATGTGACCAATTATCAGTTTTTTAAAAGGTGTATTGCACGAATTGAGAAAATTATCTAAATATTGTTCTAGACAATCACTATCCAAGTGAAGATATTGTAATGACAACGGCAATAATTTTGAAAATTGCATAACCCGCATTTCCAGTATTTCTTCTGGTATGTCATGAGTATAGCAATTTATTGTGAGAAATTGAAGGTTTTGTAAATTACCAATAAGCTCTGGAAGTTGTTCAGAAAATCCAATACATACAAGGTTGAGGTATGTAATGTTTGGGCAGAAGGATTTAAGTGTTTCTAGTAATAATGTTTCTTTACCATATGCTTGTTCATTAAAAACTTCATGCCCATGATATTTTCCTAATCCAAATCTTAATCGTTGTAGTAAGGTACCAGACTTTTTAAAAATCAATTCTAGAGTCTGTGCATCAATAGTATAAATAGAATGACCAAAACGACAAAATACATCTAAAGTGCTAATTTTACAATCTAGTAATTTCATCAGTCCCATATCAGAATTCGTAAGACGAAGTGTTTTCAATTTTTTACAATTGTTCAGTACCTTGAACTCTGTGCTAGATTCACAATTATGTAATATAGCTTCTTGTAATGAGTTTTTTTGACTATCTAAAGCTAAAATGATACCATGGAACTCCGAAGTGAAATCACTTTCAACTAATTCGAACAGCCTAAGATGTTCTTGTGAATTAATAATGCATATAAGAGCATGATATATTTGTAACTCATAATCATAACTAAATCCTTCAAGTTCTAAAACACTAATTTTTGTAGTACTTTTTGCCAAGGCTCTTAATAACGTAGTAGCACTTTCAATATTTTCGTCAGATATTCCGCCCAAAGTTAGTTGTTGGATTTGTGAAAAAAATTCTAATGTGTAAAAAATTTCGGGCTTTAATTCAAGAGGTTTTAAAAATTTTAAAACTAATTTGTGCAAAGTGGCTCCACTTTCAATGAATAATTTGAATAGTAAATTGATTATATGATATATCACTTTGTCATCGGGAAGTAATTTCGAATTAACAAGCTTGCTATCGATCCAGCTTCTGACTCTCCTTTCTAAATAATCTAAGTTGAGAACCTTTAAAAATTTTGCATATTCAAATAGTGTTTTGGAAAATTCCACATTTATCCCATATTCTTCTTTTTTCGTCTTCATTAAGAGATGATAAGTATTTAGAAATAAATGATGATCGACCGGATGAAAATGGATCTTGCCAAAGAATAGGAACTGACATTTTGCACCAATGTCGGCTCACAAGTGTGCATGAATATAAGGAATAAATTTCAGTTTTTAGATTATTAAGAATATTTCCCATTAATTCGGGCATATCACCCATAAGTACTTTCGATGCCATAATTTTGCGTTTACAAAAGATAGAAAAAAGATAAAAAGCAGCGTAGCCCGCGTAGCCTATAAATAGATCTACCTTTAATCAAAACAATACCAAATTTTCATCTGCACGCGATTTAAAACCAATTACATTTCAAGATCAGGTGTAACGTAATACAGATCAGGAAAATTCAAAACAATATACGTCACCCTGGGTATTTCATATCCTAATTAATCAAACCTATATCAGGTATTGTAACAAAAATCAATAGTACAGATTTTTACGTCTGTTTGATTAGTTGATTCTGTCATACCTTTTAAGATAACGTGAAATATTATTTAGCCAATAGAATTTAAGATCTATGTGTAACAAAAAAATCTAATAATATAATTATATATCAATATAACTTAACACACAAAGAGAACCTGTATGTATTTATTGTATTTATTATACTGTAAAAATCTTTAAGTAAAAGAGATTCTTATTAAACTTCAAATATTTTAGGCTTTTGATCTGAATGATCTTGGCTTTTTAATCTATTACTACCAACCATGCCAGGCCTTTGATCTGAATAATCTTGATTTTTTAATCTGTCACTACCAGGTCTACAAATGGCATTTATCAAGCAAATTCTAGAATAGATGCCAAAAGTTTGACAAATACTTCATTATCAAATTAATAAAAAATTTTATTGAAAAGTTAGAACAAAATTTTACAAATGAACTTTAGTAATTTATAAACAATTTTTTAAAAAGAATATCTGCATTTTGTTCTTGTTTTTCTGACTGGAGAATTAATATAGCAGAAACTTGAGAAGTTATTCTATTTTTATGCCAAATATCTTTTGTTTATAGGTAAATTTAAATTCTTTTATTTCAGTTGCTAAGAGATAATAAATGATAATATACCAGATTTTGTTTTTAACAAAATTTTATCCAACATGTTCTATGTGCGTACTGGATGTTTTTTGTATATATTATTCAATTACTTTATTAAATGCGTTAAACTTACAGAGCTAAGTATTTGTGATTTTTTAGCAAATAATTACATTTAAAAATTCTAATTAATTTTTAAATTTATGTTTAAGTCATAACTTTGCGAAGAGCTGCCAGGAGAAAGCTGTATAATAATATTATTAACTGGCAATAATGATTTTTGACGTTTTCTATAAAAAGAAAATAATGGAGAATTTGGATCACATGGAGGTTTAAAAGGTGCTGTACAAAATAGTGAGGTTTAATTCGAATATAAAATTTAGAAATTCTTCTATTATTTTGTTTTTGAAATTGATTGGGAATTGGAGTCACAGAAGCTTGAGTTTTTTGTGATGCAATAATTAAAGTTTTTTGTGTAGCAGAAACTTAAATTTCTTGTGCCATAGGAACTTGATTTTCTTGTGCCATAAAAGCTTGATTTTCTTGTGCCGTAGAAATTTGATTTTCTTGTGCCATAGAAACTAGAATTTCTTCTGCTGTAGGAACTAGAATTTATTGTGCCATAGGAACTTGATTTTCTTGTGCCGTAGGAACTAGAATTTCTTGTGTCGTAGAAACTAAAATTTCTTTTGTGCTGTAGAAATAGAAATTTTATGTACTGTGGAAACTGAAGATTCAATTTTTTCATCTATAAATAAATATAGAACATAACTAAAAATCAAATATTATTTTAATCACTAAATTAGTTTTAAAGTATTTATCTTGATGTTAAAATCACCTTGATCATCATAATCTTCATATTTATTTAAATTCAATTCTTGAGATGTAAAGGGAAATAACATAGCAGTGTTTAAAATGTGCTGATTATCACTTGTTTGATAATAATTGCCTAAACTCTCATGTGACCGATGCTCCAAAAATAATTGTAAATCAGAATTAGAAAGACCTTGATTTTTCAATAATTGAATTGCAGTGTGATGACATGAATGATTTGTAATTAATCGTCTATTGTCAAGATTGATACTTGTATTTGTAGCAATAGTATTCATAAAAACACTTGCCTGATTGAGTTCAGTTTGCTTAGTGCCTAATTATTATTATTTTTCTAAGTTTGCTATAACCCATAGAAGTATCTTTGTATTAGCGATCTTTTTTAAGATCTTGCCATAATAGTTAGTAAATATCAGATTTAGTTTGTATTAAATATAGTATTACATATTAATTGAAAATATATATAACTTTCTGGCTTTTGCATATTTTACAAAATAATAAATCAACCAATATTGAATCAGATAATTTAGACAAATAAAGAAGAATATTCTTTACTGGCATATAATTATTATTTGATAAGTCTGGTGGTATATAAATATGCTATGAATAGGTTTTTCTATGCTTATTTCTAAAAAA